GCACTCTTTATTGCTGTTTTACTAAAACTTGTTTTGCTCTCTGAGGCTAGAGTAACAACTGTGTGCAGATAATTTTCTTTATATATATTTTCTCTATTTTAATAGTGGTAAGCCTTGCAGTTTGGGTAGTGGATGCTTTAATTAACAGGTTTGTCAGGGCACCTGTCAATTAAAGCTATAGCTGATAGTCGTCTCCTTGGCTTTACTTCACTAATTAGAGTCACTGAGCTAGACCTCTTGACAGGATTTGTGCTGTTGGTGCATGTTAGAGCATTTTTCATGGGATTATCTGACAAATAATATGGCCACACACTCTTCAAGAAGTTAGAGCGTCAGTTTTGGCTTTACCCTGCACCTCTATGGTTTATAGATGCAGCTTAGAAAACCTAGCAGCTTAGCTCCAACCAACAAGCTGAGAGACAAAAAGATAATGTCAAAACTTTAAAATCCCAGGTTTTGGATTAAACTGTTTATTTCTGAATGCGAAGCTCTAACTGTAACTTTAATTAAGCCTACTGGCTATACTATTTTAGACACCTTATCTCAAATTACCTAAAGGGTAGACATAACAAGTCATCATTTCATTTACTATATTTATTATTGTATATTCAGGGATTTTTTAAATATACTTATATATATACAGTTTCTTTTTCTTTTTCTTTTTTAAATCTCATTGCTCTCTGTGTCATCTCTCTCACTGTCTCATAGAATGATAGATAAATATGGTATATTTTTTAATGGCAATGACATTTTTAAATACAGAGAACATGCCAGAGGGGAACAGCAAGAGGTATAAAGGATTTTTTGTCTGTCCGTATAAACTGCTCTGCTGCCTGTCAAGTAAGTGAAGCATGGGATAGTCACAATTATCCATGAAGGGTAACAGTTTGCTCAGTGACCTCTTCCACATCACAGCTTTAAAAGTGTTGAGTCTACAGCCAGTCACAGAGCCAACCTTCTTAATCAGTGTAGTCAGTCTGTTGGTTTCCCCCAGCTCCCCCAGCTCCGAGGCTGCTCCCCAGTTGACCGCAGCAGAGAACACGCCTCTTTACTGCACACATCTCAGCTTCCTGTGGAAATGGAGCCTGCTGATCCCACTTTATTTTATCCAGCTTAAATAAATGAATAAAGAGATACATTCTCTGATAAATTCACTGCATTGCATATGACATAATTTACAAATTATGGCTATATTCAAGTATGAAAGAAACATTGTAACACATGTTCATCTACCTCAAGTGGCTGAGCCGTTTTCTGATGCTCCCACCTTGTGGTTTTTTGGGGCAAATTCATATAGAAGACTATTTAAATTTTGTATTTGCAGAAATGTGTATATATCTTACAATAGAACCAATATAATATTTTACAAGTAGATACAAGTGAAAGAATCCTGTGTAAGTAACAATGCTGAAGTGAAGGTAAGTAAAAATCATACATAAAAAGTATACTTGATTGAACAAACAGAGAAAAGTAATTTTAAAATAAGTTTATTGTCATGTCATTCAGGCAGTGATGAAGTCAAGTAAGAGTTTTATGCACTGCACTGTTTTTCTATCAAAAGCAAAATGAAAATGCACTTTTTGTACTTTAAAACTGCTCTACAAATGCATAAATATTTTCCTATTGTACCTGTTTGTTGACAAAACCAACTTTAAATCTGTATTACGGTATATACAGTGAGCTACTTCAGCAGAGACCTTCCCAGCAGGAGTTTCCGGGCACCTGTAAACGCCCACTCACATCCTAGGCCATCTGACCTCAGGAATTCGCATGATAAGGTGGGGCCAGGTTTCACAATGAGCTCACCCGAAACCCTGGACAAAACCGCAGGTGTCCCACACATGGGCCAGCACAGGACCACCAGTGTGTATGCAACTGGCCTTGTGCTGGCCCATGTGTGGGACACCTCTGGCAAACCAGGTCTGAGCCACCAAAGGGCCATCATTCTTTGCGGTATGTGGGCCATGTGTAAGCACAGTGTGTGGGTCTGATCTGGGCCATACCAATTTTGCAATGTGGGCCAGTGAACATGGTGGTGCAGTACATGATAGAACACTTAATTTGACACTTAAACACAATTGTCACAAATGCAATTTCTCTCAAACTTTCTTTGTTCCAGCTAATTAAAAAATATAAGTGATAAGTGCAGCAAACCTATTAGATATTAACCCTTTAAAGCCGGTCGGAGCGGGCACGCTCTGTTTTGCATAACTATTTTTAAATCTCGGTAGCACTGCAACCATGTAAGCTAGCGCAACAATTTTTTTTTTTTTTTGCATATGAAACCAGGAGGAGTTGTACTTACATCTTATGCCACCAGGTTGTCCTAGGTCACAGTTTCCTTCCACATATAGCTTTGCAAAAACTGCATAAAAAACACTTGCAGCAACAAAAACATAATATTCCAGAAACACGCTTTGCCGATCTGATCAGCTGTTTGTAACATTTCCTACGTCCATCAGCGCAAACTATTGCATGTCCTCCATGACCTGCCCGAAACCGGAAGTGACGTCATTTTGCGGAAATGTATATTTTTACTATCAGGGCCTTATAAGCCTATACTGGTGTTTTTAAAAGTTATGTTTGACTTTATGACTTTCTGTGTCGTTTCTGGGATGCTTAGGACTCAAATTGCACTGCTGGAAATAGTTTATTTATGATGCATATGCTGGTTTTTTTGCAAATTTGCACTATAATATTTATTTTTATTTTTCCTGCAGTATATAAAAATTGGTATATTTCAAAAATAAAACTATGAAGACACTCAAAATAAATTTCCTGTGGTGGGAAACTATTTTGTGCAACTTTTTTGTATTTACAGTTTTGAGGGATAAGCCTCTTAAATTTCTCTAACTAGAAATATATGTTAAAAAAACAAAAAGATTTTACATTTTTTGTAGTTTATTGCACTTTTTTGCAATTTATGTAATTGCTATGCACTTAATACAGACATATTATTAAAATTTGGGCTATAATGGTTGTATTGATGTATAGCAACTTGAAATGCTCCCAAAAATGGCTCTACAGCATGTAAAAATATAATATAAGCTCTGGCAGACTTGGTTCTATGGTAGGTCTTAAAGGGTTAAATATGCCACTCCACAACAACACACTCAAAGGATGCCTGAAGCTGAAAGAAGACAGCGATCATAAAAACATCTCAGGATAAATTGTTGGAGACATCAATCAGGACAAATATCACACCACAGGAGGATGTTGTTAACATGCATTTCTCGCCATGCCAGACTGATAAATCTTCAGTGCAGACGCAAGCATCCTGTGTGGTTCTGCCGCCACAGAGATGCTTTTAAATAGACATCACCTTCATTATCAAAGCTTCCACATGGCCACAGGCATTACATTAATACCTGCCATGTAAGTCAAAAGACAGACACAGTGATCCAGATTGATGCTCGTTGCACTACCGCTATCTAGAAATACATTTTTTCATTTCATGCAGTGCCGGTTCATAATTCAGAGATACCTACTTCTTCCTAATCCTACATAATACTCTAAATGATCATCATATTTTAAAGGTCCCATATACTTACCCTTAAAGGGTGATGAGTGGTTTTGCCTTTTTTTTAAACTTTGCGATGGTACTCTTCAAGACTCCAGCAACAAGACAAGACAACTTGCCTTTGGGATTGCATCAGGAAGGGGATCTCCCAAATCAGACATGTGGCACTGCTCTCATTGGTGACCCCTTGTGATAAGGGAGCAGCCGAAAGTAGCAGGAAACTACTCCCATGTCACCTTTAGCAGTTTAACTGTAAGCTGTATTTAGGTGTTTTCAGGGCTAAAAAGTTGCTCTCAGACAGCTGAAGCTGCTCTCCTTTTCAAAGCCAGCACAAAAATACATAAAAAGAAAGACAAAAAAACACTTAAGGGTGACAGATATGTAAAAAATTTAATTAAAAAAGAGCGAAAGAGAGAGAGAAAGAAAATCTGGAGGTACGCAAATATGTTTTTGGAGTATTGTAGTGTTTTTCTTGTTTTGTTTGATTGTTTTGTTTTTTGTTAGTGGAGTATGACAGATGTAATGAGAAAAGAAGCACTGGGAATTCAACTTAATTTACATAGTGCCAAATTACAACAACAGTTGCCTCAAGGCGATTTATATTGTAAGTTAAAGACCTTACAACAAAGAAAACAGAGAAAACCCCAGCAATCATATGACTCCCTGTGAGCAAATACTAAATACTTAAATACTCTAGGAGCAACAAGTAACCCAGCTGTCTAAAAGCAAAGTGCTCTAATGGGATGATATGGTACCATGAGGTCTTTAAGATAATTTGGGGCCAATAGTTGGGCCATACCAAACAAGAACATCCTAAAAATACCAGAGATCTGTGGGTTGGGCTTGCATTCTGACTCATCTCTTAGAAAGTGTGCTGGCAGATAATACAAACGGACACACAAAAAACCCACCATAAATCACAATCAGCGTATATATTATTTTATTAAACACATTAAGGGACCATACACAAGTTTAAATGCCCCTCTTTTCAAGAACTACTGGGAAATTCACAGGATAAATCAGCTGGATCAGCTAAACCAGAAAACACATAAACGTGATTAAATAAAGAAATCATAAAAAATTAAAACACTTCACAACTTAAAACTGAGACAACTGTGATTTCTTTATTACCACAGCACACCAGGTCATAGATAATTTGATCTTAATGGCACTACCTTAAGAACATTGCTGCAGTCAACTGAGAGTTTCGACCTTATTACAACATCATGCTAGTTCTTAACCTCATTTACATCCACTTTGTCACTGGCAACCAAAGGTTAGTGTTAGGGGTGAGGGGTAAGCTTTTATCAGAAAAACTGTAATGCCTAAAAGTATGGGACTTCATTTGAAAAGTAACATTGTCTAGCTCCCAAAATTTTTCCTAATTAGCATGTGGCTAATACTAGTCAACTCACTGATGACCTGGCGGATGTTAAGAGGCTAAACAAGCCTACATGCTGGTTTTAGACAGTCTACCAAACTGAGCTGATAACAGTAGAAGATGGAAGATGCTCAGATTCACTTTAAAAACACCAGGATGTGACGTTAGCCAGGACTTTAGTTAGAAGAGAAGCAGGACATTTCTAAGACAGGTGGTGTTGGCTAATTCTTACAGAAGAGAGGGTGAAATGTCAGTACTAAAAACCACTACACTACCTACAAGATTTTGAGTCCTTTTGCTATGGTTTTTGTCTATCTCAAGTCTAACATACAAGGAAGTGGTGAACACCCAGCACTCACGGGGAGAAAATGTCTTGACATCCTACAGGGTTGGAATAGTGCTAACACAATCATGTCATCACTTTTTATCCAATTACACGTCTCCGTATCACATTTAATGATCTGTCACCTCATATGACATTCTTAATGGCGATAATCAGCTAGCTCCCTTTTTGACGGATGGAAATAGCAGTGGGTTTTTTGGTGTTCGGAACAGATTAATAAAAAGCTGAGATAGGGAAAAGCATCGTCTTGACATGTGGAAAGTATCTGTGAATTGCAGGTAGAGTTCCTCTGGACCTTTTTCAGTAACCCTGTCCACGTACAGCAAAGCAGCAAAAGAGAGGGAGGGTGATAGACATGCAAAGAAACTGTAAAAAAACAAAACAAAAAAGAAGAGCAGAGAAAAAAAGTTGACAATATTCTGTTAAAATCTCATTAGCCAGAAAATGTTTGAGTTTACCCTAAAAAGAAAAAAAATAAATAAAACAACCCCAACCCTAGACGAATCGCTGATCTGATGGATGTTAAGGTTTCCACTAGTGGACAACACCTGCTGCATTCATAATTGGCAGCTGTAATGGGGAGAAACTGTACCTGTAAGATAAACATGGAGACCACTCCTGCCGCTGTGCTTAGGTAGTTTTTGGCAAACCAGTCCTGCAGTTTCCCAACACAACCCTGAAAGGCAACATTTTTATGTTTATCCTTTACTCATACACATTACGATACTAAGCATACATGCAATTATACCTCAAGCACAAGAAGAGAAAAAGGGGGAAAATGCTCCATATGTTTAAGTGAGCAGTGCATGACAAAGTGTTCATATGAATGTCAGGAGCCAGAGTTTCCCACCAGATCAATGCATTGTCATGCAATAATTAATCTTATTCATTTATGCTGTCAGTGGTTTTATTGTTGAGTCTCACTGGTGTAGGTAGTGCATAACACAGAGTCCAAAATGGAAAACTGTGGCACAACATTGATAACTGATACCGCACACATATACTGATATTTGTGTAATCATTTATGCTTGATCCTGGATACTATAGCTCCTCAAAGATGCACGATTCCCTTGCATAACTCAGAAATGTGCACCTTAAAACAAATAATCTGCAAGCTACAAGGAAATAGAGTGTCACTAATTTAGATGATTTACACAGAAACCAGTTTATTTCTCTATACAAAAAAATAATTCCCCACAAAGCTACAAAGCTAGCACATTTTACTCATCACTGACTGAAGAAATTAAGAATAAGCATTTTTTTTT